TGTATCTGTATGAATTAATTTCAAGATATTAGAGGTCCTTTTCACACTTTGATATGACTTTTTAGTCATTTTTTATTCTACACATGTTTTGCATTTATGTTCGTTATTTTCATCATATGAAATCAAATCACATTTTTCCTACGTTTCATAGTACTTCTACTAACATGACCTAATCTAGCATGCCATAATGAAAATAAATCCATGATATAAGAAAAATTAGTTTTATTTATTTTCTTCTCAACGGTACAAAGTTTAACCATTCCTTTACTAGAATAGCATTTTCCAACAAATTTTCCATTAAGGGAGAGTACAAGTTTACCAGATTCATACACACATTTGATACCCGATTTTCCTAAGAGATTACCACTCACTAAGTTCCTATTCATATCCGGAACATGTAGCACATTAGTAAGGGTAACGATTTTCCCAAAAGTGAAGATGATATCAATATTTCCCTTTCCAATAACCTTGGATCGAACTTCACTGCCCATTTGAATATCTTGGTCTTCATCTACCTCATGATATGTTTTGAATAAAGATTTATCATATTGGCTTTGGAAGTTCCCTCAAAGGAGTTTTCACTCTTGTCAAGCAATCTGGATTCTTCCTCAATCCGAAGATGCTTTTGCAATTGTTCCAAAGAATAATCTTCGGAGTTATGCATGATCTTCTTCCGGTATCCTTTCCAAGCCCCCGGGAGTTTAGTAATTATGGCTCCCACTTAAAAGGCCTCTGGGATTTCAATCTTTACCTCCTTTAGTTGGTTGACAATAACTTGCAATTCGTGTACTTGGGAAAGAAGGGGAATATTATCAAGAAATTTAAAGTCGAAGTATTTAGAAATCAAAAATTTCTTGGTACCTTCCTCTTCTGCTTTGTACTTACTCTCCAATACCTGCCAGATTTCTTTTGCAGAAGTTGTGTTTGTGTATAAGTCGTATAAATGGTCCGACAATGCATTTAGTATGTTACCGCGGCATATCAATTCATCTTTTTGTCGTTTCTGTCTTTCGACCTTGATTGCCTCGGTCTCTCCATTTATAGGTTCTGGTAGTGGTGCCAATTCTAGATCCAAAATATAGAAGAACTTCAATGTAGTAAATAGAATTTTCAACTTGTCTTGCCACCACGTGAAGTCTGTACCATCGAACCGATCCAACCGCACCAAGTCTTAATTCATAAGTTTGATGATTGTCATTATAGTCTCATTCTCCATTACAAATAACGTTTGAGATTGTTGGAAATATGGAAGTGATGAAGAATAGACAAAAGAAATACGGCAACAAGATGAAATGAAATTAGAAATTTACCAATAACAAATTCGAAAGCTCGAACGCGGGATCACTGTCCTCAAACGTTATTTGCCCCTTCTCCGATATTTTCGAGATGCTTAAAGGTATTTCAGCAAATGGTTTGAAGGATTGTAACAAGCCTTGTAAAGAATTTCACTAAAGCACAAGATGAAATTCTCCAAAACTTAAAGAACACGAAGATATGAATGTAAATTGGGATTTGATTGTTCTCAGAACAAAGTATGGATTGCAAGATGTTTTTTTAACATTATTCCCTCAAAAATGGCTCTCCTATATATAGCCATCGACCATAAGTACGCAATGGTGCCAAAAAATCAAGTGAAAAGTCACCAATTTCAAATTTACTACTGCAAAAAAGGTCAAAATAATGTACCATGCGACTGCATGGTACAAATCCATGCGATTGCATGGTTCACCCATGTCGAGACCATTGCGATCACATGGCTATATAACATGCGGTCGCATGGACCATATATATATATAACAACTACTCACAGCACAGACAACCAATCTAAAAAGGGAGTTCAACTCTGTTATAGTCCATTCATGGTTGATATAAAACATTTGCAGATCTACTCACCCATACGTATAACATTTTAGCAATGTTAGTGGTCTCTGACCCTTATATCTGACAGGTGGTGGTCTCTATGACTTAGATTTGAACGATTACCGAGTCTCAGCCATTGCAAGAAATGAAAAATACGAAGACGTGGAAATTTAAAAAAAAAAAAAAAGAAGAAGAAGAAGAAGCAATTCTAGCTAAAACCCTTACAAATGCACCGACATGTTTGTGTACGTTTGTTTGCATTTTGTGTGCAAGTTGGGAGGATGAACACACAACAATATTATATTCTATTTTTCATATTTAATTTTTATTATATTGTGAGTATAATTGAAATTTTATTGTGGTGTACTTGTTAAAAATGACTATTTAATGGTGTGGTGATAATAATGTGGTGTAGTAATTAAATATTGTAGTGGTAATATCTTATCTTCAACCAACTTAAATGAGTACTTTTCAGTATTGCATTAAAGTGTCATAATGCCTTTTTATCGGATCATAATTGTGTTAGAACTTAACAATCGGACACATTTTAACATCTGTTTGTAGTTTTCCAAACAATAATTCTTTGATTCTTGAGTTAAGCCTTTTGTACCGCATTCTTTACCACTTGCTTTACGGATTAATGATGTGGCACATGGATGATGGTTGGATTAAATGTGTGAAATGTGAAAGATGATGTCAGATTGTGCCAAGTATAAATTCGATAAATCAGATTGTAAAAAAAAATGTATATGCAGCAAGGTTGTTGATTCTTTCAATTCATTCTCAAAGTTACCTTGAATGTGTAGATTGGAAATAAAATAACGAATAAATTATAAAGTCCATACATGAGAATTACTATGATAAGAACTAATACATCCCTCTATTTTCGAAAATTTCAAAAACCACAGCCCTTAGCATAAATTTCTCATCTTTCCTTTTGCTATTTATGTCTTTGTTTTCTTAATTTCAAGTTAGAAAAAAATATAATGTTTTAATTTTAAATTAGTTTAATTTTTTTAATCTTTTCATACTAGGCGATTTCATACTTAAAAAAAAAAAATCCGAACTATTAACTTTTGATGTCAATTTTTTTGCACATATAATATTATGAAAATATTACTTTGATTTTCAAATATTAATATAGTATAAATATCAAGAGTAAACTAATTGTAATCAATGTGTTACACATTATTCAGAGATTTTTTTTTTTAAATCATGTAAATTGATATTTCTAAATTTTGGGTCATTACTAATAGATTATTACATTGCTTATATAAATATTTTATGAAAAATGAGCATTTTATTACATGAACCTCTTTTTATGTAATGTCTTTTTGTCGTGAGGTATCTCATTCAACAAGACAATGATAAAACGATATGAGATTATGGATTAGGTTCATCGACTAGACTAGTAAGAAATCAAAAGTGTAATAGTGGTATAGCTCATTGTAATATATTTTGTGAAACAAAATTTTAAAAGAAAATGATATTTATGTTCATTCGCTCACTACTTTTAAGTTCTATCTTCGTCAATTAATTTGCTCATGTACTACTAACTTTGGTCATCCCCAATAAATATTAAGAAAGAAAAAAAATAAAATTATAATAAATAATTTCAAAATATATTTTTATATATATGAAGAATGATCTAGTGAGTACGATACTCATTTTATGCTTCGCATATATCCACATATGCTCAATGATTTTTCGAAACACTTTGCATATGGGTATGCTCTTGATAATGTGGTCAACTTATTTCTTTGACCACTTATACACGTTTAAACGACAAAATATGCACGCAATTATGTTAAAAAATGTGACAATTAGTATAACAAAGCTCAACCCATTTTATATCTTAAAAAAGCAAGTTGAACCCAATAAACATCAAATTAGTCCAAAATACTCAAGCCTATGAAATATACATACTAACCTGTACAATTTTTACGTTTAAAAAAATCAAAAATAAAATAAATTTTGCATAGAGTTGCAAACTATCTATGTGGAGTCTGAGCCTCCTCCTTCGGCTTACTCTAGATTTTACTAGCAAGTGATGCTAGTAATACACAATTTTGCATTATTGATGTTTGTTATTTTGAGGAGGAGATTGACAATTATATCTTACCATGTATAAGAGGTTATAGAAATTCCCGAGTTAGTTGCATGAGCCCATCTCGCGGGCGATAAATAACCTACAAAGAAAAGAATTCTAGATCAAAATGAGAAAAATAAGTGAGTCCAATGAAGATGATTTTGCATTGAATGACATGAAAAATGACTTGGATATATATATATATATATATATATATATATATATTAAAAATTAAAAAATACATAATTACGCATATGCTTCGCATAGGCAACCGTATATTTGCAATACTCAATGCTCGACAACAATGCATTGTTATGCATTTTAAAACTTTGGTCAAGAGTATTCTATTTGTCCACTTTTTAAAATTTAGGCCCCGTCTATATTTGTAAGAATGTGAATGAAAAATATAGTGGTTACGAGACCCTCACAAAAGATAGAAAATCAAGGGCTCGTTTGGTAGGGATTTTGAGAATTGATTTTTTGACTGTTAAAAGAAAAGTGGGGTCCACATGTGAGAGAAGAAGTCAAAAATTACGGTTTGAATAGTAAAATAACGGTCAAAAAATCAATTTTTGGGGCAAAAAATCTCTACCAAACGGGGCCCAAATATGGTGGCTTGATGTGATGGATAACGGTCATATTTTTCATTTTTTGAGCAAAGAATAAAAATCAAACAGGGCTTAATTTTGCTTCACAAATTTCATTACATTCATAATTTTATCAATTTTTCAAGCACATATTACACCAATTTTATTTAAAAAATTTAAAAATTTAATTTTTATCCAAATCAATAAGGGGATATTCATAACTTTATCAATTTTTCAAGTACATATTTGATATTACACCAACTTTTATTAAAATTTTGAAAAAAAAATAATTTTTATCCAAATCAATGAGGGGATAAATTTTTAAAAATATATTTTTCTAAACAAAATGAAAATCAGGAAAAAGGAAAATGAAAATTCGACCCAATCACGGAAGAGTCAGAATCGATGGCTGGAAGCCCGTCCAATCTTGTTACTTTATTATGTATCTGCGTTAATACCAAATGTAAAAGGAACTTATTTCACGTAGAAATTTTTTACAGAGAGAGCCGATATTTGCCCATAAGATATTCCTGCACAGCACCGAAAACCAATCGGAGGAATTGCCGTGCTGAGTTGCCGTAGATTCGCTCCCGCAGCCACAGCAGGCTTTATATTGAGGAATGGAGGGAGTAGGAGCTAGATTCGGGAGGTCCTCATCTAGGTACGGCCCCTCCAGTGCCACCGTCTTCACGGGCCCGGTGCGTAAGTGGAAGAAGAAGTGGGTCAATGTGCCGCCCTCCAATTCCAACCAAGCGGCAACAAACGGCATCGTTAATGGCTCCTCCCACCTCTTGCTCTACAAGTGGACTCCAATCCAAAAGAAAGACAATAATGACAATAACATCAATGAGAATATTAACGGCAATGATGACTCCAAGAACTCCGATATAGATGACTCCGTCGATGTAGAGAAGCCGCCCAAACGTAAATTCAAGTATATTCCGGTACTTTTCTGCCGTTTCGCTTCTTATGGTCTTAGTTAACTTGATTTTGCGTCTTCGGTTGTATATAACATGTCTGTTATCGATCTGCTAGGTGTGGATTTCTTTCTGTGGATTTGAAATTAAGTGGGCTTCTGGTGATTATCACAATCTTATTTACGGTGAATTGTGGTTTAGGGATCTTGAACTAGATAAAAATTGAACGGTGTTTTGGGCTTTAACTTTCATTCAGGAATTGAAAGAAATTTAAAATCTTTCACTTGAGTGTTTGAAATGTTTGGTTCCAGAGCCTCCGGCGGAGGACTTCCGATTTCTGTTTGATTTAAATTTGGGGGTGAGCCGATTTTCTTGAGAGCCTGATTTAAATTTTAAAATTTTCAGTGGGGAGGCATTGGTGTTTCTAGATTCCCAGGATCGGGTGTATATTTCACTTCTTTCCTTGTCAGTGTGGTGATCTTAATGGCAAAAGAGAGCGAGGATGAATTGCACATATAGAGCAACATCAAATATTAGCTGCGAGGCTAGATTTTTGAGTAAAATATTCATATAATTGGTTTTGTGGGAGTTTTATGAGAAAATATCATGCTTGAAATTAGAGAAAATTGTTTGCAGGACAGAATTATTAATTTTTCAAAATGTTGAACTCATTTTTTACCACGTCTCCAGACTCTCCACTTTTCCTATTCTCCTCACCTAGTTGTGAATATGGCATTGTGGTGGTGTTCGGCTAAGTATCTGTAGTCTGTAGTTCATTTTAAATACTTCTACTCTATTTTTTCTAATTAACATGCAAGGTCTGCATCATGGGGCTATGCTAATTACAGTTGTTATAGGAAAACCCGTCGTTGGTTCATTGCCTTTCAGCATGGATAAGATCACTGAGTTCTGTGTGTATAGAAATGCGCTCATGTAAACAGGCTATGTTTATATTATTGGAATGGATTCCCTGGTTCTTTGCCTTTTACTATAATATGTTAAAAGATCTTAGATCTTTGTGTGAGCGCACAATATGATACTACTTTCTTGGCTGATTGCACATGATCTAATATACTTGCCACACAACTATGTTTAGTTTGCATAGCTATTTAGATGCCTCTGTCAAACCTTATTTTTCTTACATTCAATGTGATTTCCATATATTGTTCATTAGTTCATCTTGTCATGATGATTAATTTTTGAGTAGGATTTTACTGATTTCAGTGTTGTGTTGTCGACACGCAGTAGGAGTATTTTTTATATGCATTCCCCTCCCCAACCAGTCCTGTAACCCTTAGATTTCAACAACTTTAAGGCATATATGTTTTAGCCGTTGGAAAATTATATGGTCATTCATGCACTTGGATTACATTTTATGAGAGGAATTACAATGTTCTTTTACTTGATTTGATGTTTTTACTGTGAGAACTGAAACTATTAAGAATGATCAGTTTGACAAATGCTTTATCCTATTATCTCAAACCATTTTTTACTTTTATCATAATCCGGTGTTTACTTGGAATTATAAAAAATCAACACAATTCAACTAACTGGCTAACATATCGTTTCTGGAATGATTGAATAGATTGCCTTGCTGGTAGAACAAAAGAACGAGTCCTCAGAAGAGGTTGATGATGAAGCTAAATCAACTGAAGCAGACAAAAATGCAGATGATGGAACCCCCAATACTGATGGCTGTGATGAAAAACCTGACATCAATGATGTACCCATGGACGAAAATCAGGTGATTTAACTTGTATCTTTTCTTTTGTGTAATATTTTGTTTAAGGCTTATCGGTTACTTAATAGGTCTTCCTTTTCCAATGGCACCCTTGTTCTAGGTGAAAAGATTCAAATAGTACTGGTTGAGAGGTGAATGGCATCTGTGTGGATGGATGCCCTTTGTCTATTGTTTTCATTTCAAGCTCTTTTTCGGGATATACATATCATTAGTCTCTCTGTCGTCAATGTCTTTCTATAAATCTGTTGATAAGCAGCTGTAGTAGTTTGGATGTGCGTTGTATTTAAACTCTTCAATTGCGGTCTTATATCAGGTCCTCGAGAATAATCCTGTCGAACGGCAAGATCTGAATGAAAGCACACTGGACTTGAGTCTGGGCTAGAAAGCTTGTGACGGTCAAAGTGAATCCAACTCAAAAAGCTGAGAAAATTAAAGATGATCAATTGAAAAGAGTGAATTCTAGGAACGCAGTATAGAACTCTCAAAGAAACTATATTTTTTCTTTGACTTTCCATTGAGCAGGTTACTTAAAAAGTTAAATTTGACGCAGTTATGCGTCGAACTTTAGCTTCTTGAACCCCACCCCTCCCCCGCGCCCCTATTGAGGCAATTGCAATCTATGCCATTTTTTTCTGTTAGGTACCATATATATTTTTTCTAATGATAGAATCAGATTTTCCAGATTGTAGTTCAATATTTTCCTCGATTATTCCCTTGCATGAAATAGAATTCCTTGTGAACTGCAGCCTCTTGTGTAAAGATTTGCTGGTATTGTAAAAGTGCTTGATGGCTAGGTTATATTCTTCAGTTTCTTCATCCTTCTGCTATGCCTATGGCATTGACAGTTATAAATCTTGCACCTGCGGCTTCAACCGATGGAGAATATTAACTTGGTCCCGATGAAGATGCTTACAATTTTCACCATAACCTTTCGTTTTTTTCCTCCACCTTTTGTTGCTTCTTTTTTATTTTGATTGCATACTCTATCGATATTTATAGGCTTAAAGACGAGGATTATATGCTATGGATTAAATGAACGTATCGTATTACCAAGAACAGTTGCACAAAATATGAAAAACAAAGGTAAGAATAATATATAAGTGAAGTGATTTTTTTTCCATTGGAGCAATTGCAAGAACGTTGTTATTTGTACACTGATTTTTGATATTTTAGTTGACACTTGTATTGTAGTCAAGTGTCAATTGGATGAAAAAACTGTTCGAAATTTAAATTGTCCAATAAGGTAATGCTACGTGACAAATTGTAAACTAAAGTGTACACCATAGCGATATTTATAGGCTTAAAGACGAGGATTATATGCTATGGATTAAATGAACGTATCGTATTACCAAGAACAGTTGCACAAAATATGAAAAACAAGGGTAAGAATAATATATAAGTGAAGTGATTTTTTTTCCATTGGAGCAATTGCAAGAACGTTGTTATTTGTACACTGATTTTTGATATTTTAGTTGACACTTGTATTGTTGTCAAGTGTCAATTGGATGAAAAAACTGTTCGAAATTTAAATTGTCCAATAAGGTAATGCTACGTGGCAAATTGTAAACTAAAGTGTACACCATGATGTACATGTAACAAGGTTCGCAATTGCACATGGTGCTACAGCGGAATTGTACTACATTGAAGAAGAGAATTTGAGATAGCGAAATATGCAAAAGGTGATTGATACTTCATACATTTCCCATCCACATAGGCTTGTAACCCAAGTACAAATTAAGTGTTGACGTGCAATATTTTTTTGTCACTGTTTTGGGTAAATTTTCGCATTTAGGCTCCGTTTGATTTTGATAAAAATTAGAGTTTTAGTACAATCCGGTAAAGATTGATAAAATATATGATAGAAGAGTTAATAAATTTTGTGAATCCCATCAAATGTGTGCTTAAAATTAACTATTGATTTTAACTTTAATTTTTATCAACTATTTATTTATTTATTCTGACACTCAAGTTACATAAAATTAAAAAAATTATCGATAAACTGTTATTCATCAATAAAATTGTGAAACCACCCTAACTCTATTGTTCGTAGTATTAAAACAACATCGCTAGAAGCTACAGAAGAGATTAAGCATTCTTTCAAAACAACAACAATAAAGCAGAAATATTTAGTAAACAATAAAATTTATCAAGCAACGAAAATCAAATGTGTAGTATAGTAAAAGTAAACAACGTTAAATATGTTTATTTTTCCGGGTTGATAGCCCGATTTTCGGACATCTCAACAGACAAGCCTTTTACTTAAAGTCGCGCTTTTTATCTTGGCTTCCGGTCTGGAAAATGTAGAGTGTAGTCCTCCAAAATGTTGGCGAAGCCGATGGGTTTGATCGTAGTTTGCTTTGGTGTAACTCTCTAAAATTTATCAAGCAACGAAAATCAAATGTGTAGTATAGTAAAAGTAAACAACGTTAAATATGTTTATTTTTCCGGGTTGATAACCCGATTTTCGGTCATCTCAAGAGTCAAGCCTTTTACTTAAAGTCGCGCTTTTTCTAGAAGGCAGATCGCATTTTGGCTTCCGGTATGAAAAATGTAGAGTGTAGTCCTCCAAAGTGTTGGCGAAGCCGATGGGTTTGATCGTAGTTTGCTTCGGTGTAACTCTCTGTTTCGTGCCTCAGCCAATCCCATCTTCAAAAAATCCAGATCCCATGGACCGAAACTTCGTGTTGTGGCTCCATGGGCTGGGCGATTCTGGCCCCGCCAACGAACCCGTTAAGACCCTTTTTACCTCCACGGAATACAGTAACACCAAATGGTCATTCCCTTCTGCCCCTTCCAACCCAGTCACCTGTAATTGTAAGTTACTCTTGCATACACGAAATGTGTCTATCGTTTATAATTCATATACCTGTTGTTTTAGTGTGAGTGTCCGTGTGGTTATTGTGAATAAGTACAGTGTAATTGTTAATTGGGGGATAATAAGGGTCAAGCCTGTTTGGCATAGCTTTTGCATTTTTAAGAAGAGTTTTTTTGGAGGAAGCTGCCACCGAAAACTAATCTTTAGAAGCATTTTGTCGAACCAGCTTCCCCTGAAAGCTTTTTTACCTACCAAAAGCACTTTAACAAATTTATCTAAAAGGTCCAAAAGCAGCTTTTGGGTCTCAAAAGCTGATTTTGGCTTTTCAAAAGCTATGCCAAATGGGCCTTCAGTGTTTGATGCATTAAAGTACAATTTTTGCGATGTTTTGCAGAGTACTGGTTGTTAGAAAATCACATTTTGAATTATATTTAGGATTGCACCAAGTTATACAATCTTGGGGGTGTTTTTATGAATAAGTATAGTATAATTGTTAATTTGGGGTAATTAGTGTCAGACTTTGATGCTTTAAAGTCTAATTTTTGCGATGTTTTGTGGAGTAATGGTTATTAGAAATTCGCATTTTAAATTATATTTAGGATTGCACCAAGTAATAGTATACGATCTTGTCGGTGAATCACGAGAACAATAGATTGATACACGCCTATTAGGAATTTCTTCTTGTTCATTTTGTTTGATTATATATAGATCAAATTTAGTATGAAATTGATTTAAAACGCTTCGAATATAATTAAGCACAGTAAAAGGGCTATGCGCAAGACTGAAAAAAATATGACTTACCAACATAAAGAGGTTCAAGAAGTACCTGATTACTATCATGTACTTGATTTCAATTAATTTTATTGACTGCCGCAATGCAACGCCCCAAGAATTTGTGTTTTTTATATTATGTTTTGGATTTAATTTATGTTTATATTTAACAAGAAATTATTTGAATTATATCTAAATATGGTGGCAACCAAATGACATTGATGACTCATTTTGGGTAGCTATGAAATAATGAGATATATTCATGTCACTAAAGTTGATACTTGGAGCTACTAGGTTCATTATCTTATGCAGGCACTATCATGTTGAACATTACGATGTTCATACTTTTGAAGACCTGTACATGGATCCTTATCCACTGAGCTGTAGTTTGGTTACTTAAGTTTAAAGGTATGTGTATTAGGTGTGTTACTTTCTGTTTTCAATTTTAAAATAAGAAGGACGAGGGGTAGTTTTTTATTATGCATTTATCATAACATTTTGTAAACCTTGTCCCTCCTTGTACTATGAACCCTTGGCTTATCTATGGTACGCTTTTGGGTTGTAAATCGTTGATCCTGCCTTAAAATAATATCCTTTCACTCTGTATTTTTCAGTCAATTGAATGGTTTCGAACTTAATATCTGCCACACGAAAATATGTTTCTTTTGAAACTAAAGTTTTTATCTTAATCTGTAAGGTGTCGACCATAGTTCCCATTCTCATGTGTCTAAACTTACTTTTGAAATGAAGAAACCTTTTTAGCCACACCTCCGTTCACTTATTTGATCACTTTAAATCATGTACATCTCTGTTATTTAGATCAGTAAACCTCTATAACGTGATATTTTTATTATAATTGCTCAGTACTTAAAACCTAGCTTTACTTTTTTGCTTGGTCCATAAAACTTGCTTAGCAATTACCTGGATAAAATTTTCATTATAATTGCTCAGTACTTAAAACCTAGCTTTACTTTTTTGCTTCGTCCATAAAACTTGCTTAGCAATTGCCTGGATAAAAAGTTTTGAGATATACCTTTGGGAAATTAATAAGACTTTTTTTATGGATTCATCATTGTTTTATACTTATCTGATAAACTTATGTTCATTCCATGCATCACTTTTGTCGTTTTCTAATTTGGATTTTCTTGTAGATGGTGCTATCATGCCTTCGTGGTTTGACATTCATGAGTTACCTGTGACAACCGTAAGTTATGCTTCATTTGATATGTTTATTTTTGATTAATACATCATATTATATTTTTATCTTCGTATTTGAGTTGTTTTATAGCTCCCATGTGGTGCTGGATAAATTGTACTATTTTCACTTTGAAAGCAACTGTAATTGACTTTGGCCGAGATACTTTGCTACAAAATGAAGATGATGTGTAACTTAAAATTGTGTACCAATACAATGATATATGTACATATGCCTATTTAATTTTTAATTTTGAGAGTAAATTGTTTGATTCTGTTCAATCCATGATACCTCTAATGCTTATCTTCAAGATGTTATGGGCTAGCAAATACCCTTTACATCCTGCATATGACCACTGTTTATAAATGATTTCCTGTATTTCTGTTGATTGATTAAATGTTGTGTAAACTATCATCGTGTGTTAGGATTCTCCAAAAGATGAAGATGGTGTGCTCAAAGCTGTTCAAAATGTTCACAAAATGATAGACAAAGAGAGAGCTGCTGGCACCAATCCTAACAATGTCTTCGTATGTGGATTTAGTGTAGGAGGTCTCTCCCACTCTCTTCGTGTGTGTCTGTGTGTTTATGTTTGCACACATACTCGTCCCCCCACCCCCAGTTACCTAATGCAAATGAAATGAGTTTTCTTCTTGATTGTACTAATATTTGTGAACTTTACTAAGTTATGTAGGTGCCCTGACATTAGCTAGTATTCTGCTGTATCCAAAAACGCTGGGTGGTGGTGCAGTTTTTAGTGGATGGGTTCCATTTAATTCTTCCATTCTTGAGAGAGTTGCACCTGATGCAAAAAAGGTTATTTCTTCCTTTAAGTGTCTTCCATTTTTCTTCTTCCCCTGAACTGTAGCAGCTCTCTGTTTGATGTTATGGTTTGATGCATGTTTCTATTTATGCTATTACAATGGCATTCTGGTTCTATACATGGATCGTATAATTTGGATAGTCCTCTAGTAACTTTTTTGAATTCAGAATATGCCATGTAGAAGCAACCACGTTGCATTTACCAGAAACTTTGTAACCATAAAGGCCACTACTTATTAGGAAGTAACTATTTACCTGTCAAGCACTGGTAGGAAGAAAATTCGATGTTCTGTGGATGGAGAGTGTCATTGAGGATTTCTGGTCTATTAAGTTCCTCAGAAGTTTGCAGCCAAGATTATAAATAAGGATGCTACTAGTCTCCTGCATCAGGGACTCTATGTCTGTTGGAGATGTGTGTGAAATGCTCAATAGAATCTATATTGGTTCCAGCTTTCAAGATTCAAAATTGTTAGATTATGAGGACGGAATCCACTCACACCATATGTGAATTTGTTTTGAATATGTATAAGAGATTCATTTTTTGTCTGTTCATGACATGGTTTCTATTGGTTTTGTCTACTGAACATGAAAATCCTGCCCTTTGCCAGCTACTCATATTTAGGTTTTTGTAAGGTTTAACTTCATCGTTAATCTAGAGATGCATTTATATTATTTAGAAGTAATTCTCTCTTGTCAAGGATCTGATACTAGGAAATATATTTGTAGACACCTATATTGTGGTCTCACGGAATGGCTGATGGAACTGTACTCTTCGAAGCTGGGCAAGCAGGTTCACCTTTCCTCGAAAAAGCTGGCCTGAGCTGTGAATTCAAGGTACTAATTTGAAAACTCTTCACCCTTTTATTTGATTTCATTATTTAAGATTAGATTTCTATCCCTTTTAGTTTTTTCACCATATCAAACGCTCTTATAAACAATGTTGGTTTTCACTTCTCTTCTAAGGCTTACCCGGGTCTCGGTCACTCAATAAGTCATGAAGAGCTCCTTTATTTGGAATCATGGATCAAATCCCATCTTCAGAGTTCATCCTAAAGGTCCTACAGTATGAAATGCCTATCATTGATTCATTCATATGTCTTGAAACACTTAGAGCATGTTTGGTACAGCTTAAAACCTAATTGAAATTATTTTTTTTGACCGTTATTTTACTATTTCAGCAGTCAATTTTTAATTATTCTCTCACAGGTTGGACCCACTTTATCTCTAACGATAAAAAAATCAATTAACAAAATCCCTACTAAACAAGCACTTAAATTGTGCTGTCATAACATATCGATGTTAGTATTTAAATTTTATGACAGTGGATTGTCTCACCAATGCTATGATCATAGATGCCTTCATTGTTGTCGAACCTTTAAGTTATGTCCATCTTCTCCGGGTCTTCACTCGCGCCACACCCCTGGCACGTTTCATGTATGTGTTAGGCCTCAATTTTTAACATACTATGACCAAAATACCCCTCTCCCATCCAACTTATGCAACGCTTCTCATTTTCTTGCGACCACCAAAACCATGCATCCCTTGCAAAAGATGCCTAACGTGTCACACTAACTAGTACAGGTTCTTAGACTCTGAAACCTTTGTCCAAATTTGTTATTGCACCACATTGTACCGTTGATGTGACCATGACAATGAGTCATGGGATCCCATTTGGTGCTCTTTTCCTTTTTAATGATTTCTCACATCAACTTCACAACTTCTTTTTGATATTGATGAAGATCCGGGGTCAGTTGGGTCCGTTGTCATAACTAAGGGTGCCTTAAAATCCGTTTGCAGGATAGAGTTGTCAATTATAATTTTTTTTTTTTTTTTTTCCGGGGAGTAATAATGATTATTAGCATTATAAAACATGGTTGTGGTGACAAAAGAGGAGAGACTTGATCATTGTAGGACCTTTTAGCTTTTAAATGCCATTACTGAGATTTGGATCTTGTTGGGCTTTATAGATTCTAGATTAAATGGGTCATGGCCCAAACTCTGAAAAATGAAAGACACGTATGAGAATCTGATTCATGGTAGGGCCCATCTTTAGTAAATGTAATGCCGTTTAGCCAATCAGATTGCGTCGTTTTCTGATTGTACTGTTCACAATCCGCCAGTAAAAGGCTCTGCGTCGCATGCGAACCATTCCCCAATGCCCAAAATACGTCACCAATTTCTATGCCCTTTCACCCCCCATCTGTCTCTCTACAAACATCAATACTTCATCAACCCCCTTCAAATTCGGGTCTCAGCCTCGTTTTATCAGTAACCAAGAACTATTCTCTCTCTCGCTCTAAAAGTCAGTCTTTCTCTTTCTGGTTGTAATAGTATAATCAGTCATGAAGAAGCTGTACAAGAAAGGCACAGTTCATCCAACGCCGCCGTTGCTTCCAGACCAGCTGCTGTCATTTTTGCCGGCGACAATCTTAACTTTAACGGTGGCTCTGTCACCGGAAGACAAAGAGGTTTTGGCATATCTTATCTCTTGCTCTTCTTCTACTAACTTTTCAAACAATCATCGTAAAGCCACTGCCGCCGCTGGCACCACCTCTTCTGGTGGTGCAAAGGGGGATGCTGACCACCCAACTTCTTTCAACTGCTACTGCTTCCGGTGCTACATGAGCTACTGGGCCAAGTGGGATTCTTCACCAAATCGTGAACTGATACACGAGGTAATAGATGCTTTTGAAGATAGTCTTTTGATGCAAAACAAGAAAGATAAAAGCAAGAGGGAAAGGAGGAAGGGTAAAAGTGGCAGAGGGAGTAGTCAAGGCTCCGAGGAGTTGAAAAAGTCTGAGTTGAGTTTGATTAAGAACGATTTTGTCGAGTCAAACTCGGCCTCGGAAGGCACTAGTGCTGGCGGCGCTGAGACTGGTGACGTCGAGGAGGAGGATGATAGGACGGAGGAAGAACTGGAGAAGGGTTCAGTGGGAAAATTTGTGAGTTTTCTTGGAGAGAAGATTTGGGGTGTTTGGAGTTGAAAAGGTTGGTTTAATCCTCTTTTGGTTATAAAATCCAAAGAATTTTAATTTTTGGAGCATTTCTCTTTTGCTGTCTGTTTACTATACAATGTAAATTATGGGTGGTTAATGTCCTTTCCTTAATTTCTCCATTTCAGAGTAAATTCTTGCTGCCTATTTTCTTTGAGCTTAATTATCTTTTAGTGGGAATTGCATAAGTTTATTGCAATAGTTTATGAAATATCAATTCAATCTTTTTATGGGCATATGGACCGGCCACTTTCTGACTAAATTTGAGCCAAACATTAGGCTAAGCTATCAATTATTATTTTCTTGTTTTTCTGCTTTTATCTTTTTCTACGTAAAGACGAAAGCATCTTTCTCTGTAGTCTTTGTTTTTCCCCCTACATGATTGAACCTTTTTCAAGTACTTGCTTGTCGATTTCGTTAGAATGCTGTAGTATTTACCGCCTATAAATTTAGGGTTTTTGAAAAATGCATTTTTAGTCTATGAATAGCATTATAGGGAGAAGAGGTGGTCAGGATGTAACTGCAGTCGAGGATTGTGGCGAACCGTGATGGCATGGTCGGAAGGCGTGGGTGGTTATGGTGAAAGAGGGCATTCGAGTGGGAGTCGGAACTAGAGTGTGAGCATAATATGAACATGGACATTCACTTTTCTTGAGTTGATTGATGTATATAAATGTCAATTATGCTATTTGTACAATGTTGGATGACAACACGTCAAAAAGCTTTTTGTTGAAAAAATGATAGTTTTTCAAATTGTCCAATGACAACATGTCGCACGTTGTTGATAATGCTGTCAACGAACGTTGTGCGACAAGCCCGGTTAACTACAAATGGTGTAATGGAAGCAGCAATTTCAAGGGAATATATATTTTCCATTGAAGATTTTTGTTTGAAAGCTAGAGAGTTGATACTCTTGAAATTAAGCTTAGCCAAACATGCATAATAAATTATTTGTAGGCCCCTCTCAATGTGTGAGGGGGTGTTACCGTGTGTGTACACAAAAAGTGTACACACAGTATAATCTTTAGTCAAAAAAAAAAAATATTGAATCCTAACCTTAAGGGCTCCTACCGTCCCGCCTCTAGAATTTTGTGAGGGAGGTAAATTGCGAGATGTATCTCAACAGATCAGGAAATCAGAACTGTCTGTACACTGCACCTACAAGTAGTTCAATCTATGTTTCAGGAATCAAATCCCTACACTGCGACTGCCAGCAAGGCATGAGATAACCTCACTTCTGTTCTTTATACCACTAGGTTATGCCCGGCAGCCTGTATAATCCTTATTCATTTTGTGAAGTGATGGTGCTAATAACGAGGCAGCAAAAGTGGGGTACGATCTAAAAATTGTTTATGATAAAAGAACTCCCTCCTTTTGTTATTCCCTAAGAAGGATTTATTCTTCCCATACAAGCTTATTTGCCTAAAGACGATACTGCCCTTTTTTGGTCTGAAAAAGAGTAGATCTTATCAAGAACCGGGTTGGCACCGAGGAATGTTGGACTAGACAAACGTCTCATGTGCCCTTTATAGTTTGGTCGTACGAAAAGCTCTTAAATTTTCTAATTATCTTTCTATTTATGAAGCTCAATCTGAATTCATTTTGACAAGTTACTAGGTAGATGGGAAATTACCAAGTCATTCTGCAAGAATTTATTTACAACGTATTTAACAAATAGTCCAACTATAATTTAATATTCGTTAAACAATTCAAACCAAATTTAAACAGCTTACTTTGTAAAAATAAAAAATTACATTTTGGAGTTGATTGTCCAAAAAAGAAAGAAAATTAAACACCTTTGTGATAAGTGATAACAAGAATATACTTTCGGCTTGACATGATAGAGTTTGCATTTCCTTGGACTCTTAGGTATATCTGCTACTTTTGCTGAACAACGTTAAAAGTTCTATTATAAGTGGCACTTAGCCTAGGGTGGTGGCATATATCCTTTAAAATTTATTTTTAATAAAATAATTTTACACGTTGACCCCATAATTTCTTTCCACTTTTAAACAACACAATTTTTTATAAAATCATTTTTCAAAAGATTTACATTAAACGGGTCTTAATATTATAAAGAATTCGATATTAATATATATATATATATATATATATATATTATTTTTTTTTATTTTTTTTATATATTGTCTAGTGTCGTCCCATCTATCATTTGCGGTTACAACCGGCGTAAGGTTGGCCAAAAAGGTCAAGGAAAAGGAACTTGAATAAATATTTTAGTTGTTTCGAAAAAAGAGTAGGCAACAAGTGTTGAAATATTTATAGCCACAAATTGACGTTTGATTCTTCATTTATTTGATATATGGAATCTAACTTATTCGTCACGACTCACGCTTTAGGTGGTCCAATCATATTCTATGAAATAAAAATTCAACAGATTAGGTAAGGTGAGTAAAAATTGGTGGGAGCAAGTCAAGAATCAACTACTGTAGACTGCCTTCCACGAAATTTAAAATCTAGACAAAACTCAATTTTAGCTTACAATGTCAACCTATAATTTTGGCCTTTTAACTTGTGATCAGATAGTGATAAAGTCAGTCAATTGCTGCCTAGTTGACCCCTCCGCTCTAATTATGTCAAAATAATGAAGTTCAGATTGGCTTGTGGTCCGGGCATCTCAAGAATGATCGATCGATCTAATTTTGACAGTATTAATTTTTTCGTGTCGTCTTTGAATTTCGTTAGCAACTATTCCATTTAGGATTGGAGTCTGCAGAGCTAGGAAATTAACCAATGAACTAAGGACACTCAGACTGTACATGTATTGCCCACTAACACGTGGGGGGAGAGCTCCGCGCTCAATAAAAAAAATGCAGCCCCCCCTCCACATGTGAGGAACTATCATTCGAGCTGTGAGCACATATGTACAAGCATCAATTCCCCTCAACCAATGTTCTTCTAATGATTTTTGGGCACTAGTCTTATGATTGATTTGTGTAGGTTTTAACATTTTAATTTTGTTAAAGTATTGGTAGATCTTAAAGTAATCCAAAAGGCACTTCTAAACTTTGCATATCGTGGAGTTATCAATTAAAGTTTTACAGAACGATCAATTTTACTATATGTGGTGTTTTATAAATCTCACTATATGTAGATAAGTGTTTTATTCAAGTTACATCATCTATGATTGATATGGGAACAGATTGTTAATCCATTGCAAGCTAATGGGCCATGATTCAAGGAGTGCGTTTCAAGCTTCTACTTACATCCAATTAGAGGTCTAGGAACCTAAGTCTAGATTAGGCATCCACTTGCACTGACTACTATATACCATATTATAAGAACTACATTTCACAACTAACAAACTCAATAAAATTTTTCATAAATTAGGTTTTCAAATCAATCCACACCCCATCCCCTTACTATAGAAAACTCCAAAAATTAAAAATGTTCGCTCTACAAAAACTCCCTCTATTAGACAAATAATTTTGCAAGTGATGGTGGTGATGAGCTGACGCCGTGTTTAGAAAATAGATCTATGTGGTAGTGATGATGGTTCATCGTAGGTGATGAAAGTGAATTGGCGTTGATCCGTTTGCTGGGGGGGTGGCGACAGTGTTTTGGGTATTGTGTGGTGGTAATAATGTTGCATTGTGAGTTACCAGATTTATTATTTATGACCATACATGTTTTATTTGTTGTGATCAAATTTGTCTTTAGTATAACCATCTGTGAGCAAGTCAGTGTAATTTGCGACTATATGTAATCAAGTCATTGACATATATTATTTGTGAAAAACTGTAATTGTTTGTGACCAAGTTTGTCTTTGTGTAATAGTCTGTGGTCATATCAATCTTAATTGTAAGAGTATGTGATCAAGTCACAGTCGACAATAATTAATATGAAATTAGTCATAACTAGTCACAATAAATACATACTTTATCACATATGGTCATCACAAACAAATCTACAAACACTGCAGACTAGGACCTGTTCTTTTTGTAAGCTCAGACACATCACTTCTTAGTACTTCAACAACCATAGTGCAACTTTCTTCATATTCGTGAACTCTTATTATTCTCGTCAAACTTAAACCTAAACTCAAATAAAATAACAAGGGTTTGGGTAATTTTCTTCCCTTTCATCGAAGTAAATGAACTCAAGATGAAAAATATGGGTTTGATCCAGATTTTCTCCCATTTAGAATAAGGATCCGGATTTGTGACCCGCAACATGATTTTGAAGTTGCCATGTGTATGCCCTTTGAAGCCTTGACATAAGTGCCATCCTTTGCACCACCGTACACCAAAACCTCTACCTCGGACAACGGTGGAGGTGACCCATTTGCGCTGATCAACGATGGGATGGGGTAATTTTTGGAGAAAACCTAAAAAGAGAAATTAAATGGAGGGAAATTAATTGGTAGTACTAAGGGCTTCTTGGGTGGGGTATGTGTGGGGAGAGGTTGGGGAAGGGTATTTTTGAAAGAAAAAGTGAAAAGAGGAAAGTAGAAAGTGAAATGGAGTGGCAAATTGATTGAAAGAAATTTGCCTTTTTGGCGTAGGTGGGTGACGGGGGCGCGGATGGGGTGGGTTATGAATAAATTTGATTTTTTAAAATAAATTCTTAACACCTGATTTATGAAATATAAAGTTTAAAATGTTATAAGCTAGAATTAAAAAGAGAAAAGCCAATAAATTTGCGTTTTTTTATTGATAATCAAGACTTGTATTTACAGGGTTCAAAATGAAAGTTACAATTGAAATGAAATAAACTCTGTAAATTAGATAAGGCGTATTTATTGTAATGATAAGACTACATAATAACCAATATTTATCTTATTTTACAATACTTCCTCTTTGATGATTATTTCAACTATAATTATCTCATTGGAACCTTATTTGGCAAAAAATCTCAAGGAACAAAAATGCTAACAATGAAAAAGCAATAAAAATAAGTGAAAATTGATATCTTGTGTATCAATGTCTTTAAATAACACCATCTTCATACGAAATATTTATCAACTTGTAATGATTGTAGTAACGTGTTAATTTGGAAAACAACTCTTATTAATTTCTTCAAGAGTCTTATATATATCAGAGTATTATTTTGAGGGTAAAATATCTTGTATTTTATGAACATTTATTACATAAAGAATATATCTCGTTAAAGCCTTATTAGGAAAAATCCTATGAAAAAAATCAAGATGAAAGAAAAATACTACATTATTATATTGATAACGCTACAAAAGTTGTCTCATTAAAAAT